GTCTAGGGGCCGGATAGCTTCTCCCTCACTGGCTTTTTAGTTAGCGCGAAGTTAGGACCAATTATCGGGATAGCATGGAAGAGCCGAAATCTCTAACCGAAATGTAAGTCGATTCGACGCCTCAGCTTCACAGAATGTCTCGGGGGAATCGTCCCAATCTTTTTCGATTTGTTTGCCATGGGTTCGAGTTCCCGTCGTTTGTCGTGCTCTTTTTCCAATCATGTACTTTAATGTTTTAAATGTTAATTTATTTTTTTTACATATATTCTCTTCTTTTTATGCGTTTTGAAATCTTTAAAAATAATCCTGTAGTAATAATAGCTGAATCTGTAAATTCAGAATTCTAATGTAAGAGATGTCCCCTTACTCCMCTCGGTCCAGTGGGCACTCACGCTATCCCGCATTACACGAAACGTCTTCGTTCGTACCTTGATTATCCTACGTACCGTCGGCTATTATCTGCATATATCTTGAATATGCATCATTATGTATTTCACGTTTACTTATGTTTACCGTACCGTAGTGTAGACAAAGAAGTTTCGCAGGGTTATCATACCCGGGGGTGGGGCTAGGGCGGATCATACCYGGGGGTGGGGCTAGGGCGGAGACGTATTTCCCCTAATAGATATCTGCTAAAAATGAACAAATATATATATTTAACAGCTTCTGTTTGTAAGGTTAAAATTAAATAAACTTTATTCCCATATAGACAGTTATCCTTAAAGATACCAGCCTAGACGTTGCTTGGTCAAAGCTTTAGAACGCCTGAAAGATACTAGATCCCAGATTTTTACCCCTAGATACGACGATCAACCCCGCGTCAAAGGTAGTCCCTCCCTCCAAACTCGGGTATAAAATAGTCCGATTTAGAATAGAATTTCATGAGGTTCCTTCACTGCTTTGATATATAGCAAATCCATGACTAGGCTCACAACCCACCCTTGGCAAGTACCTGAGAATGTGTATCGAAGATAGATGTCTAAAACTCGGCGTAAATGATAGTTCGTCCTGCCCACCACTGAAAAGCATGTAATCGTATAACTACTATCGCCACCCTGTCAAGATGTTTTATTGCCATCTATTTACATCAGCTAAGCCAGGATCACTTATTTACACTTTGCTATTGGATAGACTACTTTGATGAATAGAGTACAAATACTAAAACCTTTGCCATTGCTATAATTAACACATTTACATATAGACTACTATTTAATATTGCAAGTAGATTCCTTTGTTTTGATTGTACAAAGTGTAAGGAGTCTTGTACACCTTGTACTATTCATGTCATACAATTTCATTTTTGCCATGTCTTGTACAACATTGTTCACTACTTATTACAACACTGTTTAACGATTCTTGTATCTTTTACTAAATCTATGAGTCAATGGAGATCTTAGTTTAGGTTCTTTCTTCTTGTAGTGTTCATTAAAGTCAAGACGGAAGCTAAGAAATCTTAGATTAGGATCTTGATGGCTTGTYAACATCATCAGAAATTGCTGCACCATATCCTGTTGTGATAAATAAACAATAATTACATTAAAATAGGCATAAGATCATTATTACGGTCAACTCTCGCTTTTGCGGACACCCTCTGGACCGTAATTTAGTGTCCGGAGTAGCGAGAGTCCGTACTAACGGGAGTTACTTTAAATCATTTCTTTGTATTTTTCGCAGTGGATTCAGTATTTCATGTCCGTAATATCGAGGTATTCATAATAGCGAGGTATCCGTAAGGCGAGAGTTGACTGTAGTTGAGATCAAGAATTATGCATGAAAAAAAAGAATTATATTGGTGTGTCACTAAAGTAGTGATGTAAGAAATAACAACAAGACACCAAGTGGAGCTTGCCAAGTCCTAAATCTCAACTAACTTACAGAGCCTTTTGTGTCATTATAACAAAGGAKAGTATCACCATACCTGATATGATTGGAACAGCACACGTAGCTGTGCACGGGCATTTGGTACAATGTTGTCTACAAAGTGAACAGAGTTCTTCCTGACCTCTTCTTCATCWGCAGCTGTCATCCCCCAYTCRCCCTACAAACCARACCATCATGAATSAATCTCTTACTATTGCCTTKAGCATAATGACCAAGAAAACYTTGTCTTYTAAAATMTTGYAGGKTKTGCTTTACCTTATCAGTCTTCTTATTGACTGACTCCTTCAATTGTTGTCGGTTGTGAACTTCTTCCTCAGCTGCTGCATACAAGGAAGCCTGKGCATTCTCAAACTGGACAATGAGATCAAATATGGCTCTAAGCTGTGTCAGCATATCCTGGGATAGAGTAGAAAATAATGACATACAGTATATGATAATGGACATTATTCTGCTCCATACAATACTCACCCTAGACTCTGTGTCCAGTAAAGATCTTGAGATCACCTGATCCAGGAATGTTTCATGTGCTGCAATAATGTGGTCAAGATCACTGGCTTCTGCTACTTGTTTCTTTAAGTCTGCCCAGCAACACTCTAAAACCTGAAAAATCAAAGCAACAGAAGGGAAAGAATWAAAAAAATGAACAGAGAATTAAAATAGGACAAGAGAAAAGTTAACATAGCATAGTTAACCTCAAAGGTAATGTAGTAYTGCATTTGGTGTATGAAGTGAACCATTTCTGTACCAAGCATATGACATTGATGAAGAACAGGGACCAGCTCTGAAATAACAAACACTTGAATGAAGCATTGTTTCACCTAAGATTCTCTTAAAAGTAGTTCCTTTACCAGGTATGTTGCTGATATGTCTATGGCTGACCATTTGATTTCTCCAAATTGCAGTTAAACTGAACTCCATTCTTTGAGCTCTCCACAGAAAGTTAAATATGCGTAGGTAGTATARCATGCATTCACGGGTAAATACCTAGCAAAAATACATCACAATGAACATCTATCATATGCCGACAAGTGTCATATATGATGATGATGCATACTTACAGTACTGATAGGTCCATCAACATGGTAATCTAGACTGAACACATCCCAACCAGTATCCCCAGGTGAAACCTTCAATGTGTAAATAAATGAGTAGCATTATTGTACAATCTAATCACATACAACATTGATCAAACCCTAGGAACCAATCATACATGTAGTAATGGCATACCTCCAGTAATCTACAGTCCAGTCGTTTCAGAATTTCTGGGTTAGCATACTGTGCATTGGTAGCTCTTATGGCAGCTTCTAATGAGCCAGTCAGGTTGTGAAGATAAAGAGTACTAGCGGGCTTAGCAAGGTCTGACCTGGAAACAGTTTCATAATATTGAAAAACTGCAGAATCTGGTAAAGTACTAGAAGATGAATCTTTGTTTTAAGCCTTAAGATGTCTAATATCAAGATGTCTAATATCAAGATGTCTAATATCAAGATGTCTAATATCAAGATGTCTAATAATGATGACAGGCCATAGTAAAAATTATTGTAAGTTACAACATGTGATAGTACTCACTCCAACAAATCCATTAAATGCCTTATAAAGTCACCTTGGCCAAGCAACATGTAGAGTCTYAGGGCCTGRCAGTGTATGATAACATCTTGTTAATTCAATATTATGCACATTAGTCAATATTCAAGGTYTTTGCGTCATACCTTTAGGTGATCTCTAAACTGATACTTTGTAAAGAGGATTTCAAGTAGTTTTTTACTAGTGTCCTTATAAGCTGCATCAATTGTTTCTTGCAAAGCTGGACCTGTAAACTCTTCATCTGCAGTGAGCTGGGCAGCAGCTAATATAAATATCATGTACTATGTTACATACATTGTAGTAGAGTTCAAATTGTAAAGACGTAACTACCTGCATTCTTCTCTGCTTTAGTTCTTTGCAAAGCCTTRTTTTCATCTCTAAGAATKGGACTGCGGTCTTTACAAACATGTCTAATAAAGTTAATTGACTTTCCAATGTTAAGGATTTTTGTAGCCATGTCTAAAGGAATGAAGGATGGCAACATAGGTTTACGCAGACTGTACTTGTCATACCATAATCTGTCATCACTGACACTGTAATCAACAGCCACAAAGAACTAACAAAATACAAAATATACATCTTAATTCAGTATTACTCAATGTAGTCTGCTAGCAAGATCTGTACCTCTTGATACTGGTCTTCTAGTTCCCCTTCATATATCCATCGGTCCATAATAGTTCTTATAGGATGTGCTACCTGGTAGAATATTAAGAAGTGTTTAATATGGGGATATCAATACAAGCAGCCACAAATGACAATGAAAGCCACTTTAATCAACACAATGTACTCACCAAGTTCAATATGTGTTTGACRAGTGACTTTACAAATGGATCRCCATGTTGCATGTATGTATGGAGAGCTGATAGAAGTGCCCCACCCTTTTTACCTGTGAAATACATCGTCATGACTACAATACCAACTCTATTGGAATACTACMAGATGTCTAACTGATTGACTGAAAWCAACTGATTGTTAGACTYAAGAATTGATACTTYGTAATGATTTTTAGGCCATCCAATCAGGATATAAGCAAATYATGTAAATTTYTWGTACACCACAGAGATRTGACATACCTTTACAAGTATCGACCAAAGTTGCCAAAGTCCTTAATCTCACAAGAGGATCAAATGTCCAGACCATTAATCGCCTTAGAGTAAGATTTCCACTAGCACCCTCTCCAATCCCTTGGTCATTCAATTGTTGCTGTCCTTCAAGAACAGCCATRAGACGATAATACTCTGTTAATTCTTGCTGAAGAGCAGCACAGAAACTTTGACCAACCAGCCCAAGTGCTCTATCACCAGCCCTTGCATCAAGGTACTTCCTAACCTTTCTATACAACCAGCCAAGTTCAGCAAGTTTATTGACAAGGTCACGTACTGATTTTGGCACACCAAGGTTGGCATCAATTCTATAYGCATCACTGGAATCATCAAGTTTGATGACTTTGCCTTCAATGCCCTGGAATATGTAGATGATTTCCCTGAGTAGTATGGCTTCTGATATTTCATATGAAGCTGAAAAGTGGTAATACAATACATTGAATCYTTTAGTCAATGTGGTTCATTATAACATTACAGTATTAAATCATTGTACTTTATAACTTACTATTTTCTCCATCAGCAGCACCACTATACAYGTCGAGTCTTGCCACTGCTTCTCGTCCAGGAATAYTACCATCTGTGATGTTTCCCCTTTGCCTTGATATTGTTAGTGATTGTGCAACCATGGATGCTAACTGTGATCTCTCTGATTGACGGGTGTCAATATTATCAGCAAAGCGAACAGAGTGGGTTCCTGTGGGTGGTCTTGGACCAGAAATTGATGGTGTTTGTGTTCTGTCTGTAAGTATCCCAGATGGGTTGCTACTGAACCCACTGCTGCTTTGACTGGAATGAACGGTGGAGTACCCCCCTGCACTTGGCATAGGTCTCAAAGAGGTTTGATTCATAGGTGTAGAAGCCATAGGGAGCCCTCGACCAAAGAATTGTGGTATTGCTGAATGCTAATCAAATATAGTWCAATATTATTTCTGATATTATGACAAAGTGGAAAACAAATTATTTTATAATAAGATGAATTCTATATAACAGGCAAACATCATGAGAATCCATGCAAGTTCCATTCCTTCAGGTAACCATTAAAAACTTGAAATAAATATTAATCTTACTAAAAGGCCATATATTATGAAGAGGGCCACTAAAAGTATAGACTTTACCTGTCCTTGCATGCTGCCATGTTTTGTGTTTTCACTAACATTTAATAAAAGATATAGTATAGACCATTTGTTCTGGAGGACACTCTGCAAAAAAGTGAGTTATTTTAATATGTTTGCTTATTTGGATGATTCAGTAGGTTTGTTACCTGTGATGATAATTTCCTGTACAACTCAGAGAAAACTGCAGCATCAACTTCTTTGTTTTCCCTGACCACTTGAAGAAAGAAAATATCCAATGCACAAATTAGATACTGAATAATAATTAATAACAATAACAAGTTATACTTACATTTTCTCTTGATTCTTTCTACAACTCGGAATTCATCATTTCCAACAGATGGTGTAAAACGACTATAAATCAATGTGAAAAATAAGTTAATTACTGTACTATGATGTTTTAATAATTTATTTATTTATTAAAATTTAATTTAATATAATACTTAAGTTCATTTATAGTACATAATACTTATCAAAAATGGACTTACCTCCCTACAACTCTCAAAGCATATTGGTAATGTTCTGAGAGACTTGGATCTGAGAGAAATAAACAGTAAGCTCAATAAAAGTCTTAAACAAACCTGTTTATCAGTGCAAAAGTGAAAACTTCAAGACCGTTCAACAAAATTCCAAACTCTACCTTGACTTTTTGGTTCTTTTCCAAGCAATTTACARCAAAGAGCATACAAAAGCCCTGCTGGTGAATTAGAGTCTGTGGTCGACGATTCAACCATTGTAGTGAGATCAAATTTTTAAGCTAAAAGTTTGTTTTTCTACATTTAATTTTTTGCCATTCTGACTGCCCGCCAAAACAACATGCGCATACAGTAAATGAATAACCGCTTTAGGAGAAGAGGTTTTGCAGGCGCGGATTCATTCCCAACCTCTAACGACCAACATGGCGGATGTTTTGGAAGAACTGCTCTTTTGAGCTATTCTTGGAGTTTGGTGCTGAATCTGAGCCATTACTTTA